TACTTTAATCTTGCCTAAAATAATTTCAATTTGAAAGTGGGTTGGTAGAGATCCTAATGAGTAATATATTTGAATCGAGAATACGTGCGCCCCACGCTTGGTATTGCTGGCGCACAAAAACATAGCTAATAAAAAGAAGAAAAAAAAGGTTTCATAGATTAATTTACTGTAATCCTGCCTAAAAGAATTTTAAGTGCCACGGCTATTGAGGATTCCCCCTTGTTATGCTTTAGATTGAAAAAGAAACTTATTTAAAACCCTATGTCAGGGGGAGTCCATATTAGAGACCGCAAGAAAGTAGTCGGGGGGGGGGCATTAATAAATACATAATGCTGTTAAGGTATTAGTATGTATAGGCTCATTTGGTGGGGTGGAGCACAATCAGGATGGGGAAAGTTCTTGGGGGCCTCGTGATGAGAAAGTTTTGGAACCCCTGCCCTGTGTATTCTTGATCAGATTAAAGAAAGTGACAATCTGACAAAGTCCACTAATGAATGTAAATAACAACGTAGTATAGGGAACTGTTGTTGTTCGCCATGTTTAGGCGTAACATTCAAAGTTTTGCTGCATGAAGCTAAACGCGTATCTGTGTTTGGATAGCGTTGTACTGTACTGAGATTTAATAACCTTTAATTGTACTTACGTGACATTATTAGGGACTTGTAACGTGTAATGAAAAGCTGGACCTGTTGCCCGTAAGTAAATGACAAATAGGTTATTTTATTGGTTAAAAATAGATCTGTGTGTCCGTCTTTCTGAATGATCTGGTAGCGGATGGCTGCATTATAACCTCTATCCAGATCACTAGCCTGAAGGAGAACGAAGAACATTAAATTGATTTGTTTATGTTGTGTATATAAAGATTCACTATAGTATGTATAAGATAACAGTTATATATTTTTTTAGATGTTTAGATACCACACACATGATTCATCACCAAAGTTTCACATCGACCCACTTACAGGAGTCATCCGGTCGATGATGACGTTCTCACTTGACAATGGAAGGGCATTTGAGTTTGATGTAAAGGCTACAGATAGAGAGGGCAGTGAAACGGGTCATTCGGCCTTGACCAATGTCATCGTAAGTATTTTACACTCAAGCTAGTCTGAGAGTTTATAACGCTAAATATCAAGTTTCGATACCTGCAGTGGGTATAGCACAAATAGCCCATTGTGTAACTTCGTGCCAGGGCATTTGAGTTTGATGTAAAGGCTACAGATAGAGAGGGCAGTGAAACGGGTCATTCGGCCTTGACCAATGTCATCGTAAGTTTTTTTACACTCAAGTTAGTCTGAGAGTTTATAACGCTAAATATCAGGTTTCGATACCCGCAGTGGGTATAGCACAAATAGCCCATTGTGTAACTTCGTGCCTTATAGCAAAATAAACAAACATATATATAAGCTATAAACGTCGCTAGTAAAATTACGAGGTTAAATATGGACATCGATCATTTAGACATGCCTTTTTAATTAATATCCTTATCCCTCACACATAGAGAGGTGTGGCCATGTGACCAGTCGAATTTGTTGAAAAATATGTTTAGTTTTCCCTTTTTTCCCTTCGAATAAAACTTACCATTAATACATGAAGGGAGTCTATCTAAACTCTTTTTTTTTTTTTGAAGCACATCTAATAATATACCCAGCACCCCTCAAGTTTCAATAAACTTCAGCGTAATGAGGAATTAGAACATCTCTATAGCAACCGTACATCTTTCGATGGATTGGTTATGAAAGAAACGGAAGATGCAATCCACGCTTTTACATAATTATTTAAAAAGGGGAACATTCTCACTTCTATTATTTCCCTTGTGCGTGTTTTTTTTTTGGGGGGGGAGGGGTTACCACAATTAAAAATGGAATGTATTTGACTGTGTACTCATGGGGGTAATTGCTGCTATGTTCTTGGATTTAGGAATGATGTTTTACGTTTGTTCAAGTTATGACCCACTTTTAATTACATCTTTATACATGTAGGTTGATACCTTTTATGGATGTCACACGTTTTTATCACTGATCGTTATTTTATATTTTTTTGCACCTGTCCCTTTTTTTTGTACATCTAAAACAAGAGGTGGATAAATAATTATGGTAAATAACAATCAATAAAAATAAAATAACTAAGCCTAAATTAAATATATTATAAGAATAGTAAAGAGTGTAATATAAAATCTTATAATAATTTAGTACAATAATCATCTTAATTTGAGTTCGAATCCCCGTCCCACCAAACATCCTTGCCCTTTCAGCCGTGGGGGGGCGTTATAATGTAACGGTCAATCCCACTATTCGTTAGTAAAAGAGGAGCCCAAGAGTTGGCGGTGGGTGATGATGAGTAGCTGCCTTCCCTCTAGTCTTACACTGCTAAATTAGGGACGGCCAGCGAAGATAGCCCTCGTGTAGCTTTGCGCGAAATTCAAAACAGACAAACAAGCATCTTTATTTTTATAAATAATTATGTAATTTTGTTTGTTTGTAGTTAAGCACAAAGCTACACAAATGGTTATCTGTACTCTGCCCACCACGGGTATCGAAACCCGGATTCTAGCGTTGTAAATCCGCAAACATACCGCTGTGCCACTGGGGGGCAATTATGTAATTACCAATTCACTTTATACGGGATCTATTGTTAAGTGTTTATTTGAGAGGCAAGCCTAACTATATTAAGTTCATCATTTTATTTTATCAATTAAATACCTACGTTCGTATGTAGTTATACTGAAACCTCCCACAACACATGGAACTGAGCCCTAAAGTGGAAGGTAATTTTCAATTAATTTTATTTTTGTATTAATAATGTCAAAATAACCCAATAAATGATTTATTAAAAAATGACTTACTATCTGGTAATCTGATAAGTTATAAAATTAATACATATTTGTTACACAGTTGATGTTCATTTTTCTAGATATATGTTTTACCTGAAACCAAGCTGATCATGATTGTCAGTCACATGCGCCCTCTGGTGATGGAACAGAATATAGACGAGGTGCTAGGGTAAGTTTACTAGTATAAAATGAAAGTTGATAGATTATTTCTTGTGTAAATATATATATTGCACGTTATAGCTGACGTAAGGGACAATAATTTAAGTCCCCCCGGTGGGTCAGCGGTAAGTTAACGGATTTACAACACTAAAGTCAGGGGTTCGATTCCCCGCGACGTGTGGCTTTGCGCTATAAAAAACATAATTCAATTAGAAGTTATTTTAAGCATTAACATTTAGCATATGCCCCCCCCACAATGACACAGCGATATGTCTGCGGACTTACAACGCTAGAAACTGGGTTTCGATACTAGTGGTGTCAGATCACAGATACCCCATTGTGTAGCATTGTGCTTAACTAAAAAAAAAAAAAACATTTAGCACAGTGTAGTCCCCAAGTGGCTCGACGGTAAGTCTGAAAGCTTATAACGATAAAAACAGGGTTTTGATACCAGTGGTGGGCATGATACAAATAGCCCATTATATAGCTTTGCGCTTAACAACAACAACAAAAAAAAGCACAGTGGATGATTTCAAAACGTGCATTTTCTATATTCTAATTTTTATAATTCCCTTTAATTGTTCTCTCGCTTTCGATATTAAAACGCAACAACTATGCGCTGTAAATTTCCAAAAAACAAAATATTCATAATTACTGAACGATAAAATTTCAGAGGGCGCTGTAAGTATCTCTCAGATATACTCCTAACTAAATTACCTTCGAACAGGAGTGCCTGACCAAAGTCGATGTCAGTAATGTCAAAACGATAATAGCTTTTCATTTTATCGTCTCTTATTCCTCAGAACCAGAAGCAATCTGAACCTCAATGAAGTGCACAGGAGAGGGGGGGGGTACCTTAAGCTCTTGCCTTCATGCCCAGGAGTGCCCCTTTTTCTCTTTTAAAAATATTTCATGCCCACAACTATTAAAAGTTTTAGATATTAAAGATTAGGAATAACATGGTTTCTATCCATTTACTTTTTAATTGTTACCATTCCACCCCCCACCCCACCCCCCTAAAAAAATTGTCTTACGATGACTGAAAATAGCCCTTTTTTTCTCACGATTCCTTCCCCCACTCTTTGATGTTCTGTGCACGTTATTTCCGAAATGTATAATATTAAAAGTACAGATCGTTCTTCAGACACTTGTCATCCCCTCATTTAATAAACCTGGGTGCCCTCAACAACAG